AGAAAAATCTCTTTTCCTGGGTCCCAGCAGATGACACGCCTTAAAAAATGGGCCCAGAGCATGCCTTTCCTGGTGGATCTAACAGGATGGGTAGATACAACAAGGGAGAGTTGGCCTTGCAAGTAACCTGGTCCCAAGCCATGGACGGTTTTAAAGGTAACTACCAGCACCTTATATTGAACCTGGAAATATACCGGCAACCAGTGCAGCTTGTGAAGCAGAGGTGTTGCATGTGCTGAATGACTGGCACTCATAACTGGCCATGCCAACGCATCTGTATTAGCTGAAGCTTCCAAATATTCCCATGTAGAGCACCTTGCAGTAGTCCCTTTGAAGATGCTGCCATTGTCGGGCCTGTTTTTTTGACATGTGGAAGAGACTAGAACAACCTAGATTCTCTCAGTGATTAGAAAATTGTCAAAACATACATCCTTTTTCCAAGCTTTTAATTATTAAGTGAATTTAGTTTCTATTTCAGTGTTCATTTGTTGGTTTCAGACTGTCCCTGTTTTTAAATTCTGCTAGCTACTACAGTATTGTGAGACTAGGCTGAAGCGGCCATAACTAAAGATGAAACAGGCACATAAGCAGAGAGGACAAAAAGCCAGAAATTTTGTCTAAAAGATCCTTCTGGGGAGGTAGGTAAGAAGGAAAAAAGTCATTAAGGAAAGGAAAAAATGTCACTTGAACCAGGCAAAGGAAGTTGGGCCTGAGCACATGGAACCCCTCCCCCATCCTATTAACAGTTACCAGACTTGTAAATTAACAAGGCAAGAGTAGCTGCCAGTCTTGTGAATCAACAAAGCAAGGACTTTTGGGAATAAAAGGGGTTCCTGAAGCCCACCCACTCCTTGAGTTGTCTTTGGATCCAAACTTGGCACCTTCTGTCCCTCTAGCTAGTGCCTGGCAGCCTAGTTGAGAAGGATGTGGGTAAGTGTGGATGTGTGTGTGTGTGTGCACGTGTGAGAAAGAGTAAATGTACATTGTAACCAGTGAAGTTTTGCTGTTACTTTAAATTCACTGGGTGTATTCCAAAGAACCTGTTGTGCCTCAGTGTTCCATTGAAAGTAATTTGTGTGTGTCCCTAACTATTTCCCGGCTGTTGCCCAGGACTGTGTGTCTTGTCTGCTCTAGCTGCATCTGTGTGAAAAACCAGCTAGAAAGCAAGGGGGTCTTACAAGATCTGCGTGCCTCCACAGGCTGTGAGTGAATGAGTAAGTGACCATAAGCTGAACCTGGAAGCACCTGTAACAGTATATGTATTTGCAGAGTAGAATGAACAAGATATGTAAATAAAATAAATAAATGAACAACCGTATCTCTTTATCACAAGTATTGTTTTTGGTTATTGGTTATTCTATTTCAAATTTTCATACTTAATGGTCTTGAGGAAAAAAAAACTCGCTACACTGAAGTTTTGGTAATATGCAACTTTACTTACATTGGGTTGAACACGAGAACAGTGCTGATTTCTGGGTAGTCTTAGGTACAGATTGGTAACTTGCTTGTTCAAATAACTCAAAGTCCTTATAAACATCTTTAAAATAATCTACCATTTAAAACTGCTAGCAACTGTAAACTAATTAAGGTATTTATTATTAGCAACAATAATAAATTTATTATTATGTTAATTCTCCATCACCTGTTCCTTTATGAACTCACATGTAGAAGGTTCTCACTCTTCTTTATAACAATATTTTGAGGCATGTTAGGCAAAGAATACGAGCTGAAATTCTGATATTCCAAACACTACACCACAATGATTTATTTAGATTTGCTTGTCCAAGCAAGATTTGTTTGAATGTGTGCTGAAGTCAGTGTAAGCCCGAGAATTGCTGCTAGATTATGAGATCAAATTTTAAGTACATTTTCAAACCTAATTTGTAATCAGAAGTTACACTTTCCATGGTCAGAAAAAAAAAAGCCTCAAAAGGGAAGAACTGCTTGGGACACAATACAGGGCTACAGCACAAAATGTGCCAATCCTGTAGCATCACAGATACATTATAAAAGGAAAACCACATATTAGCCCTAAGACCAGTTTGAGTACACAGAAACAATATCTGAATCATAAAGCTTACCATAATACATTTTAAAAATTGTTCAGGCAAAAGACTTGAAAATTCACTCATAATCAAAACCAATTATGTGCAATCATGAACACTGTGTGAATTCAAATATTCTGAATAATTGCATGGGATTTATTTTGTACATAAAAGAAGGGAAGCCCTTGGACTAAAGAAACGTATTTTCCAAGTGTTAATATCTCATGCTGTGCCTAGATATTTTATCAGAGTCTGAGTTTATTAGATTTTAAAAACAAAAATTCATTTAAAACATTTTATAAACTAAGAAGATAATTTTTACAAAATGCTGAAGATGTAAGGTGTACTTTTACAAAATGCTGAAGACAAGATGTAAAGTCTGTTTGCACTGTGGGTGAGGGAACCATGGAAGCTGTTTAGTTTCTCAGACAACACTGAGACAATCAACATATGTATCATTTACTTTACTACAGAGATATTTATTAATATCAGGACTATTTTCCCTTTAAAGATTGAAATGGATAAATATGCCTCTTTGACTTGTGCCATGTTTATAGATTTTCATCTATGACATATTTTCATATGAATCTGCCATTAAAAAAATCCTTTAAAACTATATACTTCTATTAAAAATATGTATCCATCTCTATCTTCCAGTGTATCATGATAATGTCAAGGACAGCACTGTTAACTTACATTCCTATAAGTCTGATGTTTGGTATAATTCTGATCCACACCTTAAAATGATATGAAGTTTCATACAAAATTTGCAAAAGCATAACTCCTCAAATTTCATTATTGACTGATACAGTATTAATGACAGGATCTCTACACAAAACTGGTTTTCCATTGCTGAATGCACTATTATACAAAATGATAATTAAAAATGCAAAATATTTCATTCTGAGAATTTCATTTTAACTCAGAAGAAAGCTGCCGTAACGTATGGGGGAAAATAATATTCTTGTTATGCCACTTTAATAATGTGATGCCTATGACTTACAGGTGCCCTTAATTCTGCTGAGATTCTCAGTGCTGAGTAGATTATATAGGTAATCACTGGAGAGCTAAAAATACAAGGTATTTCAATGATATTTCATTGAAGAGGAGTTACTTTAAGCTTTATTATTACGGTGAGTGCTGCTTAAGGCTATTAGAATAGCTGCAGTTGGGCAGTTCACAGCTGTATCTACCCCTATATCAGCTATTGCTATAACCTGTAGGACAAGGCTGGACAAATGTTAGACTGGCAGGTTCAATCCTGTTGTCATATTCTACCATTCAAAACCTAGTACATTAGCCCATGTAGAATTAACAATCTAGAAATCCAAGCATTTATTCTAAGATAGATGTATATGGCCCAAGTAACAGGGTGGCATATAGTCCCCCAACGCTTTAGATATGGTCTTCAGAGGTCATCCAAAAGTTGCTAGGAACTTCTGATTTTTAATATGACAGAAAGGCAAAATTATTAAACATGCATATTTAATTTAGTTTCAATTACTAAATTAATTACTAATTAACTTCACTTAAATCCTGTACTACTCAACTTTTGAGATCAAGCCTCTGGCATACCATTCAAAGGACAAATGTGACTCTTGAGCCAGAAAATATTGAATAGCAGTGTTTGAAGTGCTGAATAAAGTTATCCAAAAAAATGGATTCCTATCAGTATCTCCCATCTTACTGGCTTAATGTTATTGTAGAACAATTGTTAGAAATCTTTTGCTACATTTTGACTATCCCTGTCACAGGAACAAGAATGCAAAAATCCAAGGTTATACAAACCATTTTATTTTATTCATTTATTTATTAAACAAATCTATATAGCTGCCCATTTCACGAGAAGTGACTCTGGGTGGTGAACAATAATCAAATAAAAAACAATACATATATAAAAACAAGCATTTAAAAATATAGAAAGTCAACATTAACAGTAGAAAGCCATACTATACTTTGCATTTTACTCTCTACCAGAGTGTGTGAGGAACCATAATGATGAAGTAGTATTTCTTGAATCACCTTTCTTAATAAATAGTGCTAAATTTGTTCTTAATATAATCACAGAGAAAAAAATCCTTAGAAGTAGAATAAGGA